GTGTTGCGGCAAAATGATAGTTATAAAATTAACATATAAAGAGATAATTTCTCCACTTTAGAGATCACGATCTTGGCAAAAAAAGTTATTATTAAATGTAATTTTCCATTTTATATATATTTTGTGAATATATGAATTTTATTATTTTTTACTAAACCAACAGTCAAATATATGCATAGAATGCGATGTATGTGTGTATGTAAGAAGAGAAAGTGTTTATGTAAATATTAGTTCTTCTTTGCGACGGTCAATATATTTGTGTTTTTTTATATATTTTTTAATTTTGCAAACTCAAATTTTTGGAAGTGGTTGACTAAGTTGATGGTTAACATATTCTCATTCATCACAACAATTAAATTCATTTGATAATTGATACCAAGATTTTAAACTTTTACTGGAAAAAACTAAAAACATTAAAATTTGTTTTATCTATCATCATGGATATAATGATACTAATGAACTGAACGTACATATTATTAAAAAATCCTAAATGTATAACAGTATAAGCTTATTTTTCTAAAAATAAAAAAAATGAATGTATTTAGCTAATCAGAGAATACAATTTGATCTAATTGGGTCTAGGAGCAGCCCATTCAACCCTAAGTATGAGGTTATCGTAACCATACCCATCTAATTTGTCGATTGCTCGTTGTGCATCTTGCTTGCTTACAAAATTGACGAAACCGAATCCTCTACTCATGCGCGTATTCTGGTCTATGGCCATATAGGCCCGGGCTACAGCACCAAACGGTTCGAACAATTCCCTCAAATCAGGTTCACGTGTGTCTTCAGACAAGTTAGTCACACGAACAGAGTTCTCATCGTTCCTTCTCCTCATATCAGAACCAGTGGCTCTTCTGTCTGCATCCCCTCTCATGTTTGGCGGGACATAAGAGGCATTGCCAGTTCCAGTCGACGTAGAAGTTTCTGCTGTTGAAGGCTTTTCCATTAAGGATAAGAGATCCTTTTGAGGGCATCTTGCAGTCCAGTGATCACCTTTCATATGGCATAACCTACAGACCATGAGGACAGCACCCGCTTTGCCAGACTGAGACATGTTATCCTCTGATGCTTTTGCTTCTTCGACTTTGCTACCTGAAATATCAAACAATATAAAGACCTCAATGTAAACATAAAGTGCTAAAAGCAAGATCAAATTTCTCCATTAAGAAAAACTTAAGACAAGTGTAGTTGGCGGCTAGGTAGTGCAAGCAGAAATCTACTTTCGTTCAAGAAGCTACCAACGAAAAATTTGGGTGGGCATTACGGCCACCCGCATATCGAAGAACGTGGCTGACTAACGTGTCCACCCATAAGAGAGATCTTACACTAATTGACTTCTATAGTCAGTAATCAAGCAACACTAAGAAAGATCAGAAAAATCAAAACTGTTGTGCTATTATAAAGAGAAGCAAATACTTAGGAACTACCTAAGAGCACAAATGATAACTTTATGTTTACGGTTAATAGCCAAGAAAGTAGAACACAGTTTTGCTCACATTCAAAAAAGGCAACCAAACAAGTATAGCTTTTGGTGACATACTGACCAATCACAGAAAAGAAGCAGCCATATATGGCTAATATGTGATCGGCTAATTGGTCACCTATATTACATAGACTCTCTCAGATGTAACCAAAGTTACGAGAAAACTAATAGCAAACATATAGTTAATGATCCATAACCAAAACTGGGTTTAATCCTGTTCTAGCATTGAAACGAACCACAAACGACATTGCTATAGGTGTGCTTACTGACCATTCACACAAACAGTAGCCATAAGACTAACATGTGACTGGCTAATTAGCCACCAGAAAAAAAACGAATCATCAACAACAAATTACTCACAAAATCAAGACAAACCAAAAATCCAAGTATTCATCAGACAACGAAGATTTACCAGGAGCCCTGATTCGTTCCAAGTGAATCTCTTCGGTAGACCGCATAGTGAGGTGGCTACCGGAGTTCTCATCGGCGGCGTCACCGAACTTGACCCAGCTCCGTCGCTCTTCGGCTCGTTTGTTGAGTTGTCGCTTCTGGACACGGATCGTGGTCGTGATTTTGACCTTTTTGCCCTCGTCGTTCAGCTTAAACTCAATCACCTTCTTTACACCGTTCTGGTCAGGACCGATCACCTGCTTAGGAGGAAGCAGGAAACCAAGGTCTTCGTCTTCTTCTTCCATATCATCTCCCCATCGGAAATTGTTTGTTGCTCTCTGCATCGAATCGATCGCCATTATTTTCTTCTGGTTTCGGATTTCAGATATAATTCGGCTTGATGACTTCGATTTTTAGGTATAAAAAGACTACAACTTTAAGAAGAAGGAAAACTAGGGTTTTCCGATTTTGGAAACGGTCTCCTAATTATCTTAATGGGCCTATTTGGGCCCATAAGGCCCGTATTTTTATGATCTTTTTACATCCCGTCGTCGACTCTGATTTTCCTGATCGGAACCCCAATTAAAAACCCTTGGAGAGCTCCAACAACAACAAAAATGGCGACTTTTGTACGTCGTGCAGCCTCGCGTCTTGTCGGAAACTGCAGCAAAAATCGATCTTTCGTTTACCTGAACCAGTCGTGGACCGTTAATGGCCGTTTCCGACATCTGACGCCGTCCGTTTCTCGGAATGTTCCGTTTTCCACATCTACCAGAAAGAGAGTTACCTCTACCGATCCGCTTCTCCGAGTGATCGAAACCGAGATTGGATTCGCCGAGCAAGCTGATGATTACGATAGAGTAAGCCATAAGTTCTTCCTTCATACCCATTTTCATGTTTTTTTTATCTTTCGGGATTGTTGTTTCCTACTAGGATCTGAAGCTCTGTTTCTCCTCTTGTTTAAAAGGTTGAAGAAACTCCAAGTGGTTTTCCTTTCAAAATGGAAGATAAACCAGGAGCTAAGACAGTGACATTGACTAGAGAGTACGAAGGAGAGAGTGTTAAAGTTGAAGTACACATGACTAATCTTGTGACAGG